TCTGTCTACAGAGGGCCTCATCTGCTCGGTTGTCCTGGTCAGGTGGCCTGTAGCAGATCCCCAGCAAAACATCCCCTGTCCCTGCCCTCCCTTTAATCCTGACCCATGAGCTCTTGGTCGGCTCCTCATCCATCCTCAGGCAGATCTCCGTGCCCTCCAGCTGGTCAGTGACATAGAGGTTGATCCCTGCTCCTCATCTCCCCTGCCTGTCCTTGTTAAAGAGCCTGAATCCTTCCATTCCAACACTCCAATCATAGGAGCCATCCCACCACATCTCTGTGATGCTAGTAAGACTGTAGCCCCCAAGGCATGCACATGTCTCTAGGTTGTTTATTCCCCATGCTACCTACTTCCTATACTACGAAGCTCTGTGTATGTGTGTCCATGTGTCCAAAAGCCCATTTTCTCAGCCAGTTATCCTGAGAAGTCTGCATTAATTCTTGACTCATGCAGTGCAAGAAGTCTGTTTATCCTTGCAACATGATTTCATGCAGATATAATTGAGGTGACCTAGAGTAACTACAGTAATTTCTGATCATTCTGTGGATCTGGATTAAGTGTTCGTATTAATTAAAAGATTTTTGTTCTGGTTTTGCTGATTCAGAATCTTGCTTGAGGACTTTAACAGGAAGTAGGGGTAGGGTGATGCTGACTGCTTGTATGGCTGCTAATACCATTTTTTTCTTAGGAAACTGGATAATGCACCTAGATATTGCAGCACCTAGACACTTCAGGATGAAGTAGGGACCTAGAACCTGTGTGTTTTTTTCTGTTTCTAGTAAACAAAGAGGATACATTGGAGACTTCAGCATGAAAACAATAAAAAAAATAAGGTGCCAAGTAAAGAAGTAACAGTTTGTTTTAAAAAAATATGCCTTTCTCAGTAACTGCCATTTATGTATATTACAGTTTATTTTGGTGAAGAATGTTCAAAATCCATTCTTTATCCTCCTTATATGGTATTGTAAAGCCATGAATAGTCAAACTCTGTCTTACATGCATTGACAATAGATTTAAACTGAGAATTCTTGAAATGTGAAGTGAAGCTACTTTTGCCTTTAAATTTTTAAAAAAATTTAAATTAAAAATTTTATATTTATTAAAAATATTTTTATATTTATTTAAATATTTTTTTATTAATTTAAATATCCTGTTGCAAATTGTTTCTCAAACTCTGCCAGGTGGAGAAATTTTGTCTTACCTCTTCAACTAATATAAAACATGCAGTGGTTGAGAATATAAATCATTTATTGGTCATAAGGTTAATCTGTTATGACAGATCAGGACACAGGTCGAGCCTACTCTCTTTATTCTTTCTTTATGTGGACATCATTATAATGATAATAAGTACCATTTCCAGCACTGTATAGTTTATGTTTACTTTTTTTTTTTTTTTTTTTTTTCAAAATTATCAAGATTTTTATGATGGTCATCTGAGTGAATTATTATTACATGTGAGAAAATGGTTGAGAATTAAAAGTATATGTAGAAGAGATTAAAGAAAGATAACCCAGGCAAATGTATGTGTCCAACAAAACACATAACACAGTTACTTTGGTGACAATGCAATAGTTCACTGTAATCTCATTGTAATTTCTTACAATTAGCCTTTTCTCAAAAAGTTTTTTTTCTTAAATGATAGCCTTTATATTCCATTGTAATGTTTGATACTACTTCATTCTTAACAAATCTTGTTTTCATCATAGAAAACTGTTGGGTTTTTTGACTTTTTTTAATCTTTTGTTTTGCTTTCCTTCAGTCCAAGGCACAAGAACTGACAACAGTAAAAATGTCCAAGTATGGAGGTGGTATTGGTGCACCAAGCAAAGAGGAAAGGCTTAAGGAAGCTGCAGAAATACATTTAAGATTAGGACAAATTCAGCGATATTGTGAACTAATGGTAGAACTTGGAGAGGTAAAATATCAGAATATTATTGAAGAACAATAAAATATGAAATTTCTGAAAACCAGCTACCCTAGCATAGATGGGGTAGCAACAAAATGGGTCACAAGTCCAGAAAAGAGTGATCTTGCTCCAATTATATAGTTTTTAACATATGCAGTCTAATGCATAGCTCATTCCTTATTTAATCTCTTGACAAATTTATTTTTAATGGAAGAAACAGGAAACTAGTGAAAAATACAGCTGTTTCTTAAAATAAAATGATCAGGTTAAATGTATTGCTGCTTTTTTCTAGTGGGACAAAGCTCTCTCAGTTGCACCTGGTGTATCAATGAAATATTGGAGGAAGTTAATGCAAAGGTAAGGTAATAAAAATATGATGCTGAATTGTAGCTTCTGTCCACAAAAGGACACAGACAAGTAAGAAGGATGGATACTACTATCAGTTGTACTTTGCTTTTGCTACAGCATTCCAGTGATCTTACTTTTTATTCATTAAGGTTTGGGATAGAACTGTAGAGTATTTCAGCAATATATGTATCTATGTAGATCTCTCTTGTCTGTTTATTCATTTGTTCAATTAGGAGAGCTGATCAGTTAATTCAGGAAGAAAGTGATGATGTCATCCCATACTGTATAGCTATTGGAGATGTGAAGAAACTAGTTTCTTTCTTTACTTCAAGAGGCCAGCTTAAAGAAGCTCTTCTTGTTGCACAGGTATTATTACAGTGTGGGAGATGTATTAAGCTATTCATTTCTAACTCTGATGACAAACATATTTAAAAGGCTCTGTTCATTTTTGAAAAATGGCTAAATAATGATACTTACTCTTTACTTTTGTGTTATATTGATTAGTTTTTATGCAGAAGTCATAAAAAGTTATCTCGTGTTTACAAATTTTAAGCCTGATTCTTCTAAATTGCCCATAATGAAAACTGATGTATACAGTCTTGGTTGAAGTAGAAAACTAACATGACTTTCAGCAGTCAGTATTGCCCTTAACATCAAAGACATGTAGGATTTCTCTTGCATTTCTGCTGAGATCTTGGTTATACTACCTCCTATAGCATCTTCGGGTGAAAGTACTCAATTGCAGTAGTAATCAATATAGGAAATGAAACGTTCAAATTAATGCAAAAAAACAGTACAAGAGATTACTAAAAGCACATTTGTCCTTTCTGGTTCCTAATGTAAACACAACTTAAAGGGCACACAAAACATTCAAGACTGATACTTTGTTTTACTCTTTCTCACCATTCATTTATTATTTTTGAGTAATTTCTATATAGTTAATATAGTTTGTTAAATAAAATGCCAAGATTTGTCCCTGGTACATTCTCTCATGCCTACCTGTTCTTGAACAGTCAGTTGCCTCAGAGATAAGAACTTTAATAATGCACATGAATTTTTCCTTTAAAAACTACCTGTAAGTTCTTTTTCTAATAGCAGCTGAATAGTACACTGAATAGAATAGAATAGCTGAATAGAATGGAACTCTGAGTTATGCTTAAATTTAACAAGTTATAATGTTTGAACCTTAAAGGACCTTAAAGCTTTAGAAAGATCTAATTTTTCTTTTAAGAGAGACGTTGCAGGGAGTTACTTTTATTGCAATTCATAAATTAGTCTTTGTCTTAGAAGTTTAATCAGCTAATATTAAGCAATAAGATAACAGGACTACCTTTCTCTTTTAACTGAGCCCTGAGTTTTAATGTTAACTCAGCTACACCTTAAAGCACATGAAAGAATTTTCTTTTGACCCACACTGATCTCTTCTCATTTAATGTTAGAAATAATTTGTTGCCAGACATTAGAAGTTTCAGCTTATGCCTCTATATAAAGCTTTCCAGATTTACTGGTATAACTACTGAGGAGTATCTATGGAGTTCATCCTTCACTCACAGCCACTTGCTCCTTGGGGTGTAAAAATCAAGGTTATAGCCCTCTGTCCATTTTAAACTTATTCAAATGCTGGAAAAATCCTGTACAAATGCATAAAAAGGAAGAGGTCTTGCTTCTGGAGAATTTTTGTATGGCTGGATACAGGTATGCTAAGATTTAGCTATGAGTAAGTTAACTGGTTTAAACATTTCCTTTGTTATAACTGGGCTTTAGAAGAATTTTTATAGATCTTAAATTATTTTTTGTAGTTGAAAAATCACATTTCATATTCAGTTTGAATGGTTCATTCATTAATCCTCCTTTTTTTTTTTTATTCACTTCTAGGCAGCTTGTGAGGGAAATATACAGATGTCACCACTCTCCACAACAAGTGGATCTTCAAATTCTGGTGGAAACAATACAGATGATTATAACGAGTAAGTTGTTCTAGTTTATAGCTAAAGCCTCATTTTAGTGCAGCATGTAAAGTGATCAAGCAAGATAAACTCTAGTGGTTTAATTTGGCATCATCAATGTAGAATTTCACAACAAAATACTACATCTTCTAGTACTTGGTTGATAGAATTACTAACTGATGATACACTGAATAATTCCCCTGTTGTGCCGCCTTCTGGCACCAAATGGATTTTTTTGTAGGTATGTATTGTAGTTATAAATATGCTTTTCATTTGCATGATATTTAAGGTGCATTCCTATGCACTTAAGTATGTTTAAATATGTAGCATATTAACTTAATTTTTTTGGTAAGTAGAGTAAGAATTAGCATTAATGAGTATCTGTGAGACCCTATGTTTTATGCACCTTCTCCTCCTGAAGCTTTGCTGTTTATCATCAGTGAAGTTTCCAACAATGTAAACTAATGGCCATATTTTCAGTGTATGTGCCCATAAAAGAAACCATGCATCTGTCCTTGTTTAGAAGAGTGCTCAGAAACCTAAATTACATTATCAAGTTCTATGTGTAGTAACAAAAGCAGCTTGGAGGCTGTGTAGTCACTTCATTTACATGTGCAATTTTTGAGCAATTAGAGATTTTTGCAGAGTTCACAGGTACTGAATGAATATCCAAATATTTGATTTTTCTTCTGTCAATCTGAAGAGACATTTCCATCTTGATGTAGATTTTGGGAAACTGACCTACCTGCATATGCACCAACATAAGCGGTGGATGAAGCTCAAACTGATTGCATTTTGAAAGCTAGTAGTCATTATCTGTAAGATAGAGAGTAAATTTGGATAAATTTAGCGTGCAGAAGCAGATGTGGTGACTTGCACATAAATTAAGAGCCAAAGAACCCCAACCTTTAAGTGATCTTGCAGAATTCATGTTTTGTTTTTGCAGGCTCCTGCACAAGGTCAGTAAAGAACTGGCAGAATGGTATTTCCAGGATGGCCATGCAGTGCTTGCAGCATGTTGCCATCTGGCTGTTGAAAATATAGAGGTACCTTTTTTTTTCCTCTTTAACTATGGAAAGGTCAGCACTGACTTCTTCCTTTGTACATCTCTACATGTTAACTGTTTTTCAAAATGTATGGACCACATTCTAAAATGTATTACTTGGTATTTGCTTTGTATATGTTTATATAGAGAGTTTAATCCTTACAATATTAAAGTTAGTCACAAAACTCCCCTGGTTCTGTTAAATTTAAGATTTCTCTCATGCACAGAAAGTAGTATGTCATTATTTAATTGTTTTTTCATATATACAGTATCTTGTTATGTTAGAAAATATAAGGTACCTAAATACAAATATGCATATACACACAAGTATTACTGTTTACTGTTTATAGTGACTCAAAAAGCCCATTCAGAACTGAACTTCATTGTGCTACAAAAGATGCAATCTCTACCTTGAAGAGTTTGCAGTCTAAATGATGAATTAAATAGGAAAAAAAACATCCCTCAGTACAAAAATAGGACTGACATGTAGGAAATGTTTTATTAGATTTTTTTTTTTATTTTGTTTGTAGTTTCACAAATTGTTTTCGTCGTTCTCTCTGGATTTTGTTGTTGCTGACTCAACGTGTTCTTCCTCCTCTATCACCCAAAATGAGTAAAATTCCATCTTAATGAGCTGTTCAGAGAGAAAGCAATAATCAGTTAATGCCTGAATTTCAAAATAGACATATTTCAAGTTGTTGTGTAATCTCTTACTGTTTAATATTCTGCTATGTCTATTAACAACTCCAGTTGCCCAAAGAGGGTAAGAACAGGAGAGTCCTTCCTGGTTTAGTTTTGGGGTTTTTGAGTCTCCTTTCATCAAAAGAGAGAGGAAATATGTACTCTGAAAGCTAGTGTCCTTACTTAAGACTAGAAAGGAATTGCTACCTTGCTTAGGTATGATGTTAATGTAATCTCTTTGGTTGAATAAAGGAGGATTCTGCTAAAGGAAATCTATTTGATTATTTAAAAACTGATTAACACTTGGTGCACAATTATTGACTCTTTTGAAAGACCCAAATTATCTATAAAGTTGCGTTAATTAATGCATATTTTTTCCTGTGAAAAGCAGTCTCATAAATGAATGTCATATGCTCAACATGGTGAATCCCCAGAAATGCTTGTGTCCCTTAATGATATAATTTTTTCATTGAGCAAGCTTGCGATGGCAAACCTGATTCGTGGAAATGAACTGGAGTTGGCAATCAGTGTGGGTACTGTCTTAGGAGAAAGTGCAGCACAAGCAACACATTATGCCCTAGAATTACTAGCAAGAAAATGTATGACAGTAACAACATGGTAAGAATTTCTTAATCCAAAGAAGATATTTCTCCCCCCCCCTGACAAAACAATAAAGGTGTTTCATTCTGAAACTTTTATAGAGACCAAACCACTATGGGTAGGTAGAATAGGAATTGTTTCTTGAATAAGAATTGCTGTATTAGACCTTTGAAGTACAGGGCTTGCAAATATTCTGCTTTCATCTCAAAATACATTATGTATGCATTGTAAATGAGAGAAGAGTCATTGTCAAACAGAGTATGAAACCCACTGAAAAAATATACTTGGGCAATAGGTAGCATAGTAAATTCTAGTCTGTACTGAGTAAAAATGACTGCTTCAGACAAAGAAAGGCTAGAACTGAATTATGAAGTCAAAAGAACAGAAGTTTAATTAAGATCTGTGAAGTGATTTTTAAGTACTTGCTTGAAAAATATAAAAATCTAAGAGGTTGAGGAATTGTTTTATATTGGTATTGGGAATACAAGATAGCTGACAAGATTTAAGGATGAAACAGGATTACTATTTACTTCCGCAGGAGTAAGTAATTTCTCAGTTGTGTATAGGGGAAACTATCACAATTTTTTTTTCCTCCTTGTAGTGGTTTTACTTTGAAGGATACAGTTTTGGTCTGCTTTTTGTTTACCAATGACAAGCAGAAAATCTTCTTAAGGTATTTGGCAGCTGTACAGGTGTTTTAGAATTAATATTTCATAGAAAATATGTGCTTAAACAGATACTTCATTTAAGTATCAGTTTTTCTGCTACAGTTGGTACTTGCTTAAATATCTAGATGTAGCCTGAGAGAAACATAGTAGAACTCCTCTCTACAGAGCATTTAGCCTGCCTTAGACAATAAAGCACTGCAGAAAACAATAAGATAGGAAATGCTTTGGTTTTGCAATGATTTAGCATGTCTGCATTGCACCAGTTTAAACAGGGTTGTTTAAACCTCCATCTGCACCTTTTAAAAAGTCTCTGAAGCTCTTTTTCTGATGTCCCCGCCTTCACTGTGAAGAGTGATTTTTATGTAGCCTCATAAGGGATGTGGTGTTAAGAAAAACAGTGTATATCTTTTCCAGTTCCGTAACAAAAGCTTGTTCTGATCTCAGTGCTGTAACAAGTACTCAGTGCAGCATTTATGTGTATGTACATAAAACCTCTGCAAACTTATGGCATATGTACACTGAAGTCTATATGGGTATTTGTGATAAAATTATCATAAAATATCATAAAATTATATGTCCTGCATATTGCCCAAGTATACATCTGGATTTGTCAGTGGGTTTCATATGCTATACTGAACACCTATTATTACAACTACAGCCTGCAATCCTGGATTCTGATTTGTAGCCATTACAGCATATTTTTCTATTCTGTAGGAAAAGATTAGAGATTCCTGAATCTCTCCATATTTTGTAATAAAGAGATACTGGCACAGTGTAATACCCCTCGGTCCACTGCATGTATTAAGATCGTGTATGGGGAAGCTGGAGTTCAAGAGCCTCTGATATTTAAAGGGCTTCTTTTTTTGGTTTGACTGCTTGTTATGCTTAAGGATATCCATTAACTGGAAACATTTCATTGTAGAGACACACTTAATTGTAGACACCTCAAGGAATACCACAAGGACCTTGATGAGTTAATAATTAAATCGGTTATTGATGGAATGCTTTTTGGTTTTGGGTTGGGGGTGGGGGTGGTGTTGCTGTGGGTTTGGAGTTTTTTTAGAAATGCTCTGAAATATAAAATTGAAACATCAAAGTCAAAACTAAACGTCCATGCCCATGTTCTTCCCCATCTTTCCAAATATACAGCCTTAGGAAAATGTGTGACTGTTTAAGAACATAATTTTCATTTTATTTGTGTTTAGCACCTAAATGCTGTTAAAAGCAATGTTGTACTATTCAGAAGGCTAGTGGTATTTTACTTGACATACTGAATTCTGCATATGCAGACTCAGCCACCTGATTTTGTTCTTTATACTGATAGTGTTTTCCATTTACTTCTTAAAAAAACATTCCATGTAACACAATTTATAGGCCATTGTATGAGGGCTTCTTTGGATTTTTTAAATAAATATTTGATTTCAGTTTTTTGGCTGAACAATTTCTAATCACTTTTTTAAAATGGTTAAATTGCCTATGAAGATGAGTATGTGTGAGTAGCAAATCCTGAAAATAGTTTAAGAACTTGTGAAATATCCTATATTATGAAAAAGCCTTTCTGTAACTTGGAGAAGTGGTTATTGCATGGTAATAGCATAACAGATTTTTTAGCATTAGCCAAAGACATTTTGGCATTAACTTCTTTAGGTTGTCAAAAGGCATTGGAAAACTTGTTGTTGTTGTTGTTGTTGTTGTTGTTGTTGTTGTAATCAGTTAACCTAACCCTTAGATGTGCGGTTGTAGTTTCTATTAGATTTTTCTTCTGTAAAGAAAGAATACAAAACAAAGTTTTGTTCATTACTGTTTCAATGTCTTTCTTTTAGCTTTCCATCCCTTGGATACAGGTATTTTGCTTGTTTATAGAAAGAGAGATTTGAAAAGTGTGTGACATTAAGCGTGATGATAAAAATAAGCTTAAAATAAGTTTTCTCATTTTTTAATTGTGATCAGTACTTGTAAGTGGAATAAAAAGCAGTTGCAAATATTGGATAGTAGCTTACTCAAACATTTTTAAGCCAAAGACCACATTTAAGCCAGGAGAGCATAGTAGGAGTTTTTGCCTTACACAGGTCCAAGTCAGTCTTGTGTGTTACAGGAGAAATAATGTCTGCATGAATAGAAGAGTCACAGAACAACCAGAATAGTCAGTTATTAAAAGCTCAATAGAAAAACTGTTTCAAAATAATTTCTTAATATTTACATGTGTTCCCTCCAGCTGATTGTTGTATTGAGGAGGAGGTAACAAATGATAAAAAGATACTATTTCAGAAATGTCAGTTTGCTAAAACCGATTTTCTTTTCAGAAGGATAAAAATGAGTATTACATTATTTTCTTGTATAATTCTTCTTTTGTAATGCCACAGAAGCACTAGCCATTATGGATAACTGAGAGATAATTTATGCTGATGTCATGGAGCTCTAGAGGCCTCAATCCTTTGAGGATAGTTTCATGACACAGGACCACATTAGCATCTTACCTTCTTTCAAACTGGATAGGTCCTATTCTCCCTTCCCATCCCTGCTCACACATTCTTCCATCTCACTTTGAGGTGGTTCTGATGCTTTAGGATTGCACAGCTGTTTAATTCAACCAAGTAAAGTAACAGAAAATTAACACGTGACTTCCTCAAAAAGATTAATAGGTTAAGCCTCATTCATTGCACCAAAATAGTCTTAGAGGCTGAAGTTCTATGGAAAAAGTTGGGTTTTTTCAGTAAACTCTTCTTTATAAAAGGAATATAAAAGAGAAAACAGAGTTTCCTCCTATAACAAACCATCAAGAATAACTACATGTCATCTTTTGTTTGTGCAGGGATTTAGCAGCTGATCTTCTTATGATGATTCCTGATAATAAACTGCAGTTAGTAAAACTATGTGCTTTTTATCCTGGATGTGTAGCAGAAATAAATGACCTTCATGAAAAGGTACAATTAAAAAGAATTTACCTGAATATTAACAAGAGGTTATGTATTGATTTGTTTACTAATTTCAGAAAACTTAAGGCCAAATAAATCTGTAGGATGAATTTATCACTTATAGTCATATATGTGACATATCCTTTTTTGCTCTTAGTCTTCATTGATTTTATTTTCAGTATTGCACAAAAAGATCTTTAGTTCTTTAATTCTACTCTGTGTGTAGTCTTTCCATGACACAGGTTACTTCCTGAAGTAACTTACGGTCTTCAGAATTACCTGTCAGTATGGTTTATAGCTTCCTCACCACTGAAGTGCAGCCTATTCATGTCTTGGCAGATCAGCTTTCTGTACTGTTCTGAATTGTTTTACGTAGTATGTCTATAATCTTAAATCTCCCTTTCCTTCTCAGCAGCAAAAGGGTCTGCTCCACTAAATCCCTTAAAATTCAACTTAGACTGCACATCTATTAATTAGTAATAAAATGTTCACAAAAACGTTAGCAATGAAAGCTGATACTGCTTAAAATAAAGTTACAGAACCTTCTCCTTCTGTGTGGTTCTCTGGTCTAGATGGCTTTCTTAATTAATTCTTAATTATATGCAGGTATGTCCTTCAAACAGTGATGACTCGGTGGGAGTTTGATCAAACTTCAGTATTTCTCTGCATCTTAGAGAATTGTTTGAATGTTACAATAATGCTTTGGCAAAATCTTTGTTTTCCAGTGTAATCTTCCTGATGTAGAAGAATGTATGCGGTTGGCAGAGACAATTCAGGCAGATGGGGATATATTCGAAACTATAAAGTACTATCTGTTAAGCAGTGAACCTGAAAAGGCTCTCCCTATTGGCATTCAGTATGTGAAAGGTAAGTACTTGGTAAAGAAACCTTATAAAGCGTTAAGTAATTTTATAGCTTGCCTCTTGAGATATTTTTGTTTCTGTTTTTCAACAGAACAACTTTGTGGCTCAGATTGGACTTTAGATTCAGTCTGTCCCTATCTTGATCTTCTGAGTTACATACGCACTGAACGATTAGTGTTGCATAAATGTAGTGAGTGAGTATATTTTCCTTACTTATAACATTTTATTAAAGGAGACTTTTGGAGTTATAAAGGTATTTTACTGCTTCTTTCTCTGTGGGGCATTTACAATGAGTGAATCAATGTTGGTTTTATTTGAAGAATCTGACTTTGATCAGCTCTGGTTTCAGCTTCCTGAAGAAAGAGCAGTGGTACCCCACATAATACAGGTTTCTATCTCAAATTTTTAAGGCAATTTGAGCTGTTGCCCTCAGAATTAACTCTAAAATAGTTTAATAGCTGTGGTTCACCTTTATGACAGATTGTTGAAGCTAGACCTGAGTGCCTGCACAGGTGTACATGTGAAGAACTAAAAGGAGCAAAAAGCTTATCTCTTACCTGTGGCCTGTGGGGAAACATGGCAAAAATAGAGTCCACACTAATATATGGGGCAATTTTACTTACACTTAGAGTTTTACCACGTTAAAAGGTCTGAGCGACATTGGTTTTGTAACTTTACATACTTGTGCTTAATAACTGTGTGTTGTACATGCTATTTAAAATTTAATAACTGAAAAGCAGGTGGAGTCTGTTTTAACAATTACATCACATAAAGTAAGCATAATCAACAAACATATTCACAAAACAGATGGATACATTAGGTTTTAAAATTATAATTAGAATATGAGTTTGTTTAGTATTTTTGCAAGTATTTGTTATTGTTCATGATTAATACTTGTCCACCTACAGGTTTCGGAACGAGTTGCTGATTTTGTGTGGTTACATTGGTGCTTTACTTGCTATCAGAAGACAGTACAATAGCATTGTACCCGCACTTTATGAGTATACAAGGTAATGTTATGTTTTCAGTAACGTAAGATGAATGCCATACATCGTTCACGCTTCCCCATTCCCCCTCCCCCCACAAAAAAAAAAACAAACAACCAAACAACAAAAAACTCTGAATTCTCAGTTCTGTTATAAAGATACAAGGATATACCCATGCCTGCATATAGAACCTTCTTTACTTTATACATTATACACACAGCTTGGTGTCGTCAGCAAACTTGCTGAGGCTGCACTCAATGACACTGTCGGTGTTGCCAACAAAGATGTTAAAAGGCATCATTGCCAATACCAATCTCTGGGGGATGCCACTCGTCACTTGGACATTGAGCCATTGACCGCAACTCTTTGAATGCAACCATCCAGCCAATTCCTTATACACTGAGTGGTCCATCTGTCAAAACCACGTCTCCCCAATTTACAGACAGGGATGTCGTGTGGGACATGGTCAAATGCTTTGCAAAAGTCCAGTTGGATGGCATCAGTTGCTCTTTCCTTATCCGTGTATGCTATAAACCCATCAGATAAGGCCACCAGATTTGTCAGGCACGATTTGCCCTTAGTGAAGCCATGTCGGCTGTCACGAATCACCTCCTTATTTTCCATGTGCCTTAGCACAGTTTCCAGGAGGATCTGCTCCATAATCCTGCCCGACACAGAGGTGAGACTGACTGGCCTGTAGATCCCCAGGTCTTCCATTTTCCCTTTTTAAAAATGGGTGTTATGCTTCCCCTTTGCCAATCAGTGGGAACTTCACTGGACTGCCATGACTTCTCAAATAGGATGGATGGTGGCTTAGACGCTTCATCCACCAATTCCTTCAGATGTCCATTCAGATGTTCCTTCATCAGGTCCCATGGACTACTGCATTTTCAGGTTCCTTTGATGGTCTCAAACCTGATCTTCTCCTGTGCAGTTCTTCATTCTTCCAGTCCCCACCTTTCCTTTCTGTGTCTTGAGTGGTGTGGCTGGAGCTATTGCTGGTGAAGACTGAGGAAAAAAAGTCATTCAGAACCTCAGCCAACTCCATGTTCTGGGTAACCATGTCTCCCATTTCCCTCTGGAGAGGGTCAACATTTGCCCTAGTTGTCCTGTTATCACCAACACACCTATAGAAACTTTTATTCCTCCTGATGTCCCTGTTAAGAGTGAATTGCATCAGGGCTTTGGCCTTCCTAACCTGATCCCTGGCTGCTCAGTTTCTCTGTATTCCTCCCAGGACACCTGTCCTTGCTTCCACGCTCTGTAAGCTTCCTTTCTGTGCCTGAGTTTGTCCAGGATCTCCTTGTTCATCCATGCAGGCCTCCTGGCATTCTTACTTGACTTCCTCTTTGTCAGGATGCATCACTCCTGAGCTTGGAGGAGGTGATCCTTGAATATCAACCAGCTTTCTTAGGCCCCTCTCTCCTCCAGGGCTTTATCCCATGCTACTCTGCCAAGCAGATCCCTGAAGAGGCTGAAGTCTGCTCTCCTGAAGTCCAGGGTAGCGAGCTTGCTGTGTGCCCTCCTTGATGTCTTAAGGATCCTGAACTCCACCATTTCATGGTCACTGCAGCCAAGGCTGCCCTTGAGCTTCACACTCCCCACCTGCTCCTCCTTGTTGATGGGAACACGGTCCAGCATAGCACTTCTCCTCATAGGCTCATCTATCACTTGGAGAAGGAAGTTATCATCAACTCATTCCAGGAACCTCCTGGATTGCTTATGCCCTGCTGTGTTGTCCCTCCAACAGATATTGGGATGGCTGAAGTCCCCCATGAGGACCAGGGCTTGTGAATGTGAGGCTGCTCCTGTCTGTCTACAGAGGGCCTCATCTGCTCGGTTGTCCTGGTCAGGTGGCCTGTAGCAGATCCCCAGCAAAACATCCCCTGTCCCTGCCCTCCCTTTAATCCTGACCCATGAGCTCTCGGTCGGCTCCTCATCCATCCCCAGGCAGAGCTCCGTGCCCTCCAGCTGGTCAGTGACATAGAGGTTGATCCCTGCTCCTCATCTCCCCTGCCTGTCCTTGTTAAAGAGCCTGAATCCTTCCATTCCAACACTCCAGTCATAGGAGCCATCCCACCACATCACCATTATGACAGATCATAGCCTTCTTTTACTCAGTAATTTGATATTCCCAGACTTTAAAACACTTGACCTGGCCCACTTGATCTGACCTGGCCTGATCCTGCCCACTTGGCCCAACTCAATACCAACCCGTCACCTGACTTGACTTGACCTGAGTAGACCACCTGACTAGACTTGACTTACTTGAAGCAGCTCAGACTGATCCAATTGACTTGACTTGACCTCACCCACTTGATGTGACCAGACTTGGCCTGCTTGACTTGATCCAGCCCACTTGACTTGACCAGACTTGCCCAATCCAGTTCAACCTGACCCACTTGATTTCACTTGGTACACTTGACTTGACCTAACCCCACTTGTTCCACTTGGACTTGAACCAACCAATGTGGACTTGAAAGGAGAAAGATTAAGATCAATAATCTTTATCTTACCTTATTAATAAAATAGGCTTACGTACAATACTTTAGTGTTCTTTCCTCAGAGTATAACCACATTTGTTTTGTCTTCCTGTCTGTTTTGGTAACTATGCCGCTATCCACTAACTAATTTCCATTTTTCCCCCACTATCTGGGACTGTCAGATCCTTTTGGTGTTGTCACCTGACTTGCTGGCTAGCAAGGCTGGCTCCAAAATGTCACTGATTTCCATGCTGTTACTGCTCCACTGTAGCTTTGCCAACAATTTCAGGTCATTTCCTCAAGAATGTGTTGCATATATGTTGTCCAGTCCTTTAATACCTTAATAGAATTGTGAGATTTCCTATACCTCTTGATATTTATCAAATTTGCTTAACAAGTATAATTAAACAACATAAATTTAACGTCAGAAATGTGTTTAGTCCTTTTCTTCAACTTCTCCCCATTAGATGTCTCAACAACACTTTCTTCCTCTTAGCCATCCTCGTCTCTGAATCTTGATGAGAGGATAAATGAAAAAGGACTGTTTATGTGTTTGTTTTTTTGATTTGCTCCTCCTCCAGACTTATATATGGAAAAAAGGAAGATGAAATATAAGCTTTTACAGGAGGGCTATTCTGATATGGAAATTAATAGGCTAGTAACAAGCTGTGAGACTCGGTTTGTGATACTTTGGCTGTTATGCTTTAAGTTTTCCTGGGATTTAAAGAACCACAGAACAATACTGCTCTAAATTTTTTTCTCAGACTGCCCAATATTTTCAGGATTCATAGATTTTCAGATTCCAGCCCATCTTAAGATGGATTTTTCTAAGGCTTCGTAACACAAATAGGAGTTTGCTGAATTAGGTCAGGCAACAACTGGCCCTTGTATTATATTTTGATAAATAAAAAATGCATCCACTGCAAGGGTCTTGAAACTGTTTTCCGCAAGTAATCAGGTGAAACAAGGCTGTCTCAGAGCATGTATTGAACCGTGTTACTCTAATTGTATTTTTATCATATCCATTATATGTAGGCAAAATGGATCTTTAATTTTAGTAAAGTTGTCACTATTAAGAAATAAGAACACATATAGTCTTACAATATAGAACAGCCTCAAATTAAAAACTAGAGCTAAAGACAAGCTTAAATAAGGTTTGAATAGGGACAATTAAAATCAAACTTAAATGAAAAGGTATACTTTTATATCTAGTGATTTAATATTTATAAGGTTTAATATAGTGATTGTTGTGAAGGATCAATTTGTTTCCATTAAGTTATTTCCATATCCAATCACAAATAGTTTTATATTACTACTGTCTATCTTGTTTGTCTTTTAAGAAAATATTCATCGTTCAAATTAATTTGGACTTCAATTACTTGCATTCCTTTTCAGTCAGCTTTTAAAAAGACGGGAAGTATCTGTACCTTTGAAAATTGAACAGCTTTCTGAGGAACTAGAGGCATGGAGAGCTTGTACTCAATTAAACAAGTAGGTAGAAAAATATAAAACTACCATGAATTAGACTATTAATATTTAATCATTTAGTTGTAAATGCAGTATTTACTTCCTTTGTAAAATCTGAATATGAATGTAAACAATTAGTACTTTGTGGCTCTCAAATTCTAACACAAATTAAGACATGTAGTTGAAAAACAAGTGTCTTTTGTTCATAGGCCTACCGATGAATTGCCATGCACCCCGCCATCTGAATCACAGAGAACACTGTATTCAACACTCGTATCACGAATACGAGAGGAGCCTCTGAAGGGAATGGTTGGGCCCGACTATGTCACTGGATCAAATCTCCCTAGTCATTCAGATGTTCACATCTCTTGTTTGACAGGGCTAAGGATACAGGTACGGTTTCAGAGAGCTGAGTTCTTTCTTGGTGACAGCACTGACTAGTCGTGAGGTTGCCACAAATCTAAGGTGTCTCCCATCCTTTGGGAAGAAAAATTTTTTTTCCCTGGTGTCACAGTAGCAGAAGTTAAAAGAGAACAAGTACTATATAAGAAAATCTATATTAAGAATTGTCCAATCAAATAATTGCCTAGTTTCCCAATCCAAAACTTTTTAATTTCCATGTGAAAGACAGATTTCCTTTGCCAAATGTTCTGTCTAAAGTGCATGTAACTTTAGACAGAACTTTGCCCACTACCTCACCACATCTTGAATAAAAACCAGGAAATTATTTATCTACAACCACACACTAACAATACTCTGTAGTTAGTATTTTATCATTATTGAAATGCATACTGTAAAACTTGTAGTTCATGATTAATTAAAAGCCAGATATTGGAGGACAAATATTCAAATATATTTATTCATCACTCACCTAGAACTTTATGATCAAAACATACCAGTCCTTTTAACACCTCTTCCATATATGTTGTTATTTCCATAATGGGAAAGTTGACAAGAGCCTGAAAACACTACCTTCAGGCTCCTGTCTCCAGACAGTTCCTCCCTTACACGAGGATGAGTCTATTTCCTCTGTCCAGTGCAAGATGCCAGCCCAAAGAGTAACATGATTGGTTGGGGATTAAGAGGGATAGTTTTGCGTCAGAAACTGGAGACTGCAAAATGCTAGTGGGATATTTAAGGTAAACAAAATTCACAACTCCAGACCCTCAAGTCTAAAAAAAAAAACCAACTTGCTGCCAACACTTCCATATCAGACCAGCAGTCACTGTGGCTATACTCTCAACATTTGCCAACAGCCCCATAAAGCTGCTGTTGTTATACTCCATCCAACAAGAATAGCAAATATGGTGTCACCAGCTTGTCATCTACAATATCCTTCTTTCTGGATTACTGAATATTAGGAGTCATTGCTTTAGGTATGCGGACCAGCTCACATGTCACTTAGTTAATACTAAGGTACGGCAGCCTGATTGCATGGGTTTACAAGTTTTAAGTAGCACGTTTGCAGAGCATAACCCTTTAAGAAGGCACTTAAACTGAATTGCAGGTTTGAGACTGTATTTTGTCAAATAACGAAATTAGCAAATAGCTCCTCTTCCATCAGATAAATTAGTATTTTGTCCTTCCATAGCAAACATTTTAAATTATTCTGTAGACTTCATGTTTTCAAGCAATTTATGGAGGCATTATATTGGGGTTTTTGTCGATCAGGAAACACATAGATCAGCACAGGTAATGACGAACACAATGAAATATGTACCGTGTTCTGAAGGAAGAAAACTTGTTACCTCAGCTTCTAATTCAGACTAAAATTAACTCTGGAATAATTGACAAACATATTTAAAATACCACAATTACTACAAATAAAGCTAAAATCTTAAGGATTATGAAATGTTGGGTTCTCCAGATTTTGGAACATAACAAGTTCACTCAATTTATAATGTGTAACTATTATCAAAGCTTTAAGTTGGCGGGTTACAGTTTTTGCACAAACATAGATGACAGTTGTAAATCACATTCTTCTGAAGTTTTCACATTCTTCTGAGATAAAACAAAATGTTTCTTCTGTTGTGGTAGCCTTTACATAATACATGTGGACTTTCTTTTTCTTTTCCTCACCAAACATTTTTGCTGTACAGGGTCCAGTGTTCTTCCTTGAAGATGGAAAATCTGCTGTTTCACTGAACGATGCTTTGATGTGGGCCAAAGTGAATCCTTTTTCACCCCTAGGAACAGGAATACGACTTAACCCATTTTGATGAGGTGTTTTCCTCTGCACTTTATAGTGCTTAAAATAACATTCTGGGAGTTAATACTGATTTAACCTTGATTTTCAAAGGACAGAAAGATGTCAGTTGATTCCTTCTGAAGGGCAAGTACTTGGACTTTGAAAATTGTAAAATGAGAACAAAAAAGGATTTCTATACAAATGTTTGTTGATAATCCAAAGAAAAAGTTATTTGAGAATCCAAAGAAAAAAAAAAAGAAAAAAGGTCCTAACTTCATAGACAGCCATGTCTTTTTTTAAATAAGTGTTGTCAGACAATACAGACATATTTCAGTCAAGTCTGTGTAAACAGATGCCTTGTAAAGGAAGTAAGCAACTATCTGCACATTATCAAAATATTGATAGCAAACTGTGAAATCCATAAACACACTTTCAAATACATAATAGAAAGACTTTATTGATAGCCACTACAACCTGTTTTTAGAATGACTGGAATCCTGTGACTATTTCACACCTTACGTCCCCCTTTTTAATTTTAACTAATTTTTACACACAGGATCCTATAGCAAAAGTAAAATATAAAAAGTGCTTAGATTATTTTTTTCATCCATTAGTTATTGTGCTTTAATAGCAGTACAAAGATGTTTACTAATGTTTTGTCTAGATAGGTTTGAATATCTAGATTATAAAATTCTATTTTTTAATAAGTTCGTCTTTGGCAACTGTTCCCCCTTTCACTGAAAGCTAAAATGTATTTATAAAATTTTTTCTTTTTTTTTTAAACAAAGGGTTTGTAAGGAACAAACAGCAAATGTATTGAAATTATTTAAGTATATTATGTACATTTAAAATGCTTACTTTCTTTTTACATTTTGTATTAGTTATAAATATACATAAAGTATGACAGACCAGAAGTAAATATTTGTGCATATATTTTTATTTACTAAAGCTGTGCTCAAATGGAAAGAAAATTATGGCAATAGAATACTAAGAATATTTAAACTTTAAAGCTGTGTACAGTACTGAATTTAGTCATAAGGCAAATCTTATTAATAAATCTTAGAATTACTTCCCTGTAGAAAAGATGCCTTGGTTATAGTATACTTTATTAGCTTAATTGATGGCACACAAGCAGAAATCTCTTTATGTGTTGTTATATTTTTGATGCTGCTTTAAAATAAATTTTTAAATTCTGATAGTTACACAAAATGTAAAGAAGTTAAAATTGGCAGAACTATTTCTAGAGAAACTGTTGTAAAGCTGGAAATAACTCAAGGTCTCTTAGCAGACCCTATCGAACAAAATCCTCGATATATAGGTAAACAATGCTCTTGTTTAACTAGAACTAACAATGCCACCATGCTGGAAAGGTGGGATAGAGATTAGAAATTAAAAATTCCCTTTAATTTCACCCTCTTTAAAAAGTTAAAAGTCATTCTGTCGATGTTCTAGAGTATTATTACAGGATTTCTGGTGTAAGAATATATTGGGGGGGAAAAAAAAAAAGCTTAGCTGTTTTGTAATTATACAAAAACATTTTTGTACATACTTGGATGCTGGAACAGGATGTTTTACTTTTTGCAGGTGTTGTTTGGAAAATGTTTTCCTTGTTTAATCCTGTGGAGCTTGGGGAATGAGAGTTGGGACTTCAGAAATAAAAATTCATAGTTTTTGAAAGAATCTTCCACCAGTCAGTATCTGATGTGTTGCTTCTGTCAAATGAAAGACTAGCTATCTTTTTTTTCACATAAATTGTACAACCTTATATGTAGAACTTGTTAATACAGAGTTGGAGAGCAAAGGTAAGAACTGAACATGCAGCCCTATGACTGATGGTTGGGATCTGAAGGATTGACTCAGCTGCCACTCTGGTTAAAATCTTTTGCTGTGTCCTAAGGATTTTTACAATATTTTGGTTTAAATATCTTACAATATGTAGTATAACTTCATCAATTTGTTGCACATGAACTGTGCCTTAACATGGAAACTTAGACAAATCTAGTCCCCTTTTAAATTAGTGTAAGGGTTGAGAACACTCTCATTGCTGAAATACAAAAATTAAGTCAAAGAGTGCTTTTTATGTTGGGAATCCATCAGGTAACAGTCATTGTGAATAAAATGAGGTTGCATTTTCTTTAATGTGGTTGTACCCCATGTGGTGAGTTAGAGGAACATGCAGAGAAGGTTGTAATTGTGTTTACTGCTACAACTGTGGTTGCAACTGTTGAACTATATAGACTCATCATTTTCAAAAATAATTTCAGATTGTTTGCTAATGTGTGACTTCATTGTCTGGCACAGCTAGTCAAATACAGGTATTTCCCCTTAATATTAAAGAATCCTTTGTCTTCAAATGACTGTATGACTCTTCTGTAAAAGTTATACTTCTATTTGAATGAAGAAATTTATCAAGCTCTACAGCTGGTGCTTTCCAATTACTATTATATCTCAGTTAAGTTTAACATCAATTTGTCCCCACAAAATCAAATTAATTGTTCTATTGAAAGAACCTGACCAACATTACTGACATGTTTATAAGCTTCACAGACTGCAGTCACATGTGAGACTTTCCTAGGTGGATTCCAAAACAATACAAAAATAAAATCTGTCATACTATAAACTCTTCCCAATGCAAAGACTGACATTAAAATGAGATATGGCACTTTAAATCCATGTTGTTGAATTTCTTCATTGGGTAAAATCACTTAAATCGAGGGTTACAACAGTTTACGATGACACTAATGCAGGAAAATCCCTTCATTCCTTACACAGAAAACAAAACTAAACTACTGAGTCTGGATACTCTTTTCAGAATAAGCATTAGCTTTATTTAAAACTTGAAGCTTACACCTTTATGTAGGAAAGAAATTAAATACGGGATCATCTTTTTCTCTAGATAAAACTTACTAAAAACACAGGGTGGAGAATAGATTTAGAAAAACAGTTGTGAAGACCAGTATGCATTTGCACATTAGGTCAAGATATGAAGACATGAAATACACTCTCAGATTTACTGAATATTTCACATGCAACAGTTAGACCTTGTGGCTTCTAAGGTTGTATCAGTAGCATCAGAAAAATTCACTGATAAAATAGTAAACCAGCTCTAGGAAGATATGAAGCTAAAAAAGAAGCAAGACAATGTTACAAAACCAAGTAAATTACAGTCTTGCAGATTGCATTTTAGAATAAGAGGTTTACAATTCATTTGCTTTAAAGAGCATTATTCCCTAACAGACAGTAAACTTAGATTTCTTTTTGTTGATTATGCATCAACACTACTGTAATCAGAATGGGGTTTGTGTTTCAAGTTCCACACTCAGGTTAATCTTTTCGGTGGTCTCCTGGGAGGTACCAATCATTCATCATAAGAGGATCTGTCAGCTTGTTTCACATGGTTGTCTTCAAATGAATTCCTGTTTTGCCTTGTTTTGGAGGAATCTAGATGCAGGGTGTTGGGGCCAGGGGGAAAGTTGGCAAAATATATTAAAACAAAGTGCCCTTGAAGATTCAAAGTATTAAAACTACATAATTTCAAAGTGCCAGGGCTGTTTTAATCACCTTTTAGTTTAGTGTACAATTTTATAGTTAAGCAGTGAAAGAAGGCATCATCCTTCCTTATGAAAGCAGCTTTTTAGCCCTATATATATAAAAAGCCCAAGCACTACCATCTTCTGAGGGTGTGATTATTTGAACCAATATAGACTAGTGTTGGGGGGGAAAAGTGAAAAATACATACAAAGAACCTGAAAATTGATCTGACTGATCAGTTTGGGACTACTGCTACCAGGGTCCAAACCAGCCCCGCAGGCTGGGATGGATGTAGGCAGGGCCACAGCAGGGTTCAGCAGCACACCTGCGAGCAGGGCCCTCCCCTACTGCAGGGCTGACTCCTCCTGTCCCACTTTTCCTGCAGCATCTCCCACAGTTCCCTACGCAGCCCAGGTATGTCAGTGCTGTGGGTCAGTTACTGCTTAGGTCAGGACTGGAGCACCTGCCCAGTCACACAGTCATCAACAAAATTAAGATCTCCATTATGTAACTGTAGGGAGGAAAAGTGATTTCAGTATGGTGAAAGTATCCAGAATAAACTCTCAGGAAGGTAATAGAAGCACTTTTGAATATTAGAATAATTTCTGTAGATGCCATGCTAGGGAAAAGCTCAAAGGATTTTTATGGTAAAAAAATAACGGCAACCCCCTCCAAACTTCCTATTTTCTAAGAAATTGTATCTGATGCATTCAAATTTTTAACACAAAATCTCTTTGTTGCCTTTATAGCAAAAGTAAACCAAACTACACAATGTTACAATCTGAAAAGATTAAAATTAAGACAATGTGATGTGAGAAACAAACTTACGTGATGTGGCAAACAGTTTTTCCTTTCGGATACCAGATATGTTCTCAGAGGATGTGGAGCAACAAAGATGCTGCATGTTGTCCCAAACTTCGTTTAATGTTAAACCACCCTTCAAAGCAAAAATCACAAGTTGTTCATTTCAGTAGTATGTTAAGCATCTGATCAGTTAGCTATTCAGTTTTCTAGTTTATTTGCAGTCACTGCCCTTTCCCCCACTTGACTGACACCCAGATGATCTTGGCAGCTGCATAAAATGAATAGTACACAAAAAAAAAAACAAACAAAACCAAACATAAAGAGAAGGGGAAACATTAAACAAGTTCTGTGGTAAAAGTGCACTGTATATTCTTTTTAATTTGAACATTTTGCATATGTTGAAAAACACTAAAATGGGATGGCTTCAGCATTTTGGGGGCATAACATGCATGAGATCATCATACGTAAGCATGAAATAGCATGTTGAGAAATTACACAGTATGTCTTAAAACCACACATGCTGAATTTGAACAACTATTTGAAGAATACAATAACTGTCATTCTAGTTAAGTATCTCACTTGGCAAAGTAAATCCAATATTGAAGAAAAAAAAAAGAAAACAACCTCTGACGAACTGTGATCATATACATCCTTCTGATGCTACAGAACAAATTTTTCATTTGACATCTGTCAATCAGAATACTTGATTCTCTTCAGAAATTTTAAATCCAGCCGCAGCCAAACACTGCACAGCTGCTTGCTCACCCTCCCAGGCCTGGGGAATAATAGAATTGGAAGGTAAAGGGAGACTTACAGGTTCAGATAAAAACAGCTTAATAAGTGAAATAAAACAGTAACAATAATAGAAAGTACAGATGCAATTGCTCACCCTCACTGACTGATACCCAGCCTGTTCCTGGCTAGCAATCCCCCCCAAAAAACAAGATCCCAATACCACAATCTTGGAAGCGAGAGAGGAAATCTCCCCCTTCCTGGCTGACCCTTCTTTATACACTGAACATGACATTACATGATATGGAATATTCCATTGGCAAATTTGGGCCTGGTGCTCTGGTTGCGCCCCCTCCCAGTTTCTTGTACACCTGAACATGGGCAGGATGTGGGAAGAAGTTGGAAAGTCTTTGATTTCTTAGCGACAACTGAAAACATCATTGTATTATCAACATTCTTCTCATACCAAATCCCATACTGAATCCAAAACAGCACTTTTCTAGCTACTAAGAAGAAAAATTAACACTATCCCAGACGAAAGAAGGGCAAGATGCAGCTGAAGTTTCATGTCTAAATTCTGTTTGCATATGCCTCATTTACTCCTGCAACTGTCACTGGTATCAAGAAGCTGGAAGAACTTGTACAGTCCCAGTACATGCAACACATGGTACATTAAAAAAAATAGGAGAGGAGATTTTTTACCATGGTC